GGTAACAAAGATCCCCTATGTTGTCTTCCAAAAGTTTTAAGTTTTACGTTTTACATTTAGATCTATGCTTCCTATAATCATGGGGTTTTTCTTCTTTAGTTAGTATGGTGGCGTGCATTGATTTGAGTTTTCAAATATTGCCCTCCTAGCCTTGAATTCCTGGCATAAAACCTACTTGGTCATGGTATATTATTCTTTTTATACATTGCTGAATTTGATTTGTTAATATTTTACTGAACATGTTTGTCTTTATCTTCATGAAGGATATTGGTCTGTAGTTTTCTCGTACCATGTGTCGCCTCATGGAATGAGTTGGGAAATGTCCCCTCCTCTTATATTTCTGGAAAAGTATAAAATTGGTGTTATAGCATTTTTAAATGTTTAGTAGAATGTGTCAGTGAAACCATGTTTGGATATTTCTTTTTTAGAAAGTCTTTATAAGTTCGAAGTCTTTAATAGTTATAAGAATGTCCAGGTTGTATATTTTACCTTGGGTAAGTTTGGTAGTTGCAGTTTTTCAGGAATTGGTACATTTCAACTCAGTTGTCAAGTTTATATGCATAGAATTCTTTGTAGCAGTCTTTTAAAATTGTTTTAAATACAGATGGTGTTTAAGGTATCTGTAGTGATATCCCCTCTTTGGTAATTTGTGAGTTCTCTGTTTCTCTTTGTCAATCTTGATTGAGGTTTATCTTTTTTTTTTTTTTTTTTTAAACAGCTTTTGGTTTTATTGATTTCTTTTTTTTTTCATTTTCAATTTCATTGATTTCTGTTATTTTTATTTCCTCCTTTCTGCTTACTTGTTTTATATGTAGTTAGCTCCTCTTTTTCTGATTTCTTAAACTAGAAGCCCAGATTAGGGATTTGAGATCTTTTTCCTTTTCTAACATAAAGACTTAGTGCCATAAATTTCCCCCTAAGTACTACTGCATTATCTACAAATTGACATTTTGTATTTTTATTTTATTTCAGTTCAAAATATTTTCTAATTTTTCTTGAGACTTCCTCTTTGGCTCATTGGTATTTAGAAGTGCATTTCCTGCAAAATGTTTGGAGATTTTCCAGTTTCCTTTCTATTACTGATTTCTACTTTGATTCTGTTATGATCAAGAACATTTTTTATATTTTGCTCCTTTTATTATTTGTTAAGATTTGCTTTATGACTCAGGATATGGTCTATCTTGTGAATGTTTCACATGCACTTGGATGTGTATTCTGCTATTGTTAGGCTGAGTACTTCATAAATAAATCAAATCAAATTGATCGATGGTCTTGCTCAGTTCTGCTTTATTCTTACTGATTTTCTGCTTATTTTTCTACTGAATACTGAGGAGTGTTGAAGTCACCAACTAAAATTGCGCATTTATACATTTCTCCTTTCTGTTCTGTCAGTATTTGCTTTGTATGTTTTGAAGAACCATTGTTAGGTGTATGAACATTTAGGATTTGTTACATCTTCTTGGAGAATTGACCCCTTTATCATTAGTAATGTACTTCATCCTTGATAATCTCCCTTATTCTTAAGTGTACTTCATCTGAGAATAGTATAGCCTCTATAGTTTCTTTTGATTAATTTTGCTTTTCCATTCTTTTACTTTTAAATAACATCTATTTAAAGTGGATTACTTATAAATGGCACATAGCTGGGGGTTTTTTATCCATTCAGATAGACTCTGTCTTTTATTTGGTCTGTTTAAATCATTTAATTTAATGGTATTGATATGATTGAATTTAGGTCTGTCATTTTGGTATTTGTTTTCTGTCTATTCTGGTTTTTTATCCTCTATTTTTGCTTTTCTGCTTTCTTTTGGAGTATTCGAACATTTCTTAGTGTTCCATTTTAACTTACTATTGTCTCTTTTACTATATCTCTTTGTGTGCATGTGTGTATAATCATTGCTCTAAGAATTACAATATATTTAACAGCCTGCTCAAACTAATACTTTACCACTTCAAGTAGAATGTTAAAACCTTACCATCATGTAAGTCCCTCCATCCTCTCCCCTGCCCCGCCTTTTTTTTGTGCTTGTCTTATGTCTTACAGCTACGTGCACTGAATACCAGGCAATGTTATAACTTTTGCTTTTAACCATCGATCATATTTTAAAGAGCTCAAGGGAAGAAAGATAGTCCATTATATTTACCCAGGTATTTACCAGTTCTGTTTCTCCTCCTGTACTCCTGAAGTTCCAAGTTTTCCTCTGGTATCATTTGCCTTCTGTCTGAAGAATTTCTCGCAGAAATTCTTTTAGAATGTGTGCCGGTGGTGAATTCTTTTAGTATTCTTTCACTTGAGAATGTCTTTATTTCACCTTCTTTCCTGAAGGATGTTTTCACTGGATATAGGGTTCTGGATTTACGGTCCTTTTATTTCAGCAGTTTCAAATGTTCCTTTTCCTTCTGGTCACCAAGAATTCTAATGAGAAATCCACAGTCATTCCAATTGTTTCCTCTAAGTAATACACTATTTTTCCCTGGTTTCATTCCAAATATTTTCTGTCTCATTAGTTTTCAACAATCATGTGTCTGGGTGTGGATTTCTTTGGGTTTTCTTTGTTTGGGGCTCAGTGAATATCTTTAATCTGTAGGTTTATGGTTTGCCAGACTTGGGAAGCATTCATCCATTCTTTCTTTAAATTGTTTTTCTGCACTGCGCTCTTTCTGAGATTCTGATGACACAAACGTTAGACATTTGGGGATTGTCTTAAAGGTCCCAGAGGCTCCTTCATGGAGCACTTAAAAAACATCTGCCTTAATGTCTCTGTTAATAATTCCAGCATCTGTGGCATTTCGGTGATGGCCTCTGTTGAATTTCTTTTCTCGGGCAAGTTGAGATTTTTCCCACTACTTTGTATGCCAAGTATTTGGGATTCCATGCCGGGCCATTATGGATTTATATGCTGAGCAATTTTGTATTATATCCTGGACATTTTGGATATTCGAATATATGAGATTCTAGGTCTTGTTTAAATCTACTGGTTCAGTGGTACTTCAAATTCAGTGGTACTTCTTGCTCAGTCTTCCTGCTACCATTTAGTTTTCAGAGTCTGAAAATAGCTGTTGCATTTATTCTGTCCAGGTTTTTTTTTAGCTCCATTCAGTCAGACAGACTAGATGGAGTAGCAGTGTACTTTCTCCATCTGACCTGAAATCAGAACCTGTGTTGATATGCAAATTAGGCCCATAATTTTTAAAAATTAAGACTGTAATTTTTATATAGCTGATCTTATCAATTTTTGACAGCTATATCACATTCATATTCGTGGACTTTCTTTTTCTCTGGGCACACTGTGACAGAGGCCCCTTGTACACCTGACCCTTTGGTTATATTAAAATTTTCTGTCCTCTCTATCCTATTTCTCATCCTACCACTTGTTAGTAATTTCCATGTTATCTTCTTTCAGTTGTGACAAGGTTGGCATTTTCCAGAAGGAACTTTGTAGAGGAGGTGGGATGAAAAATATAACTGTATTGATTTGGGAAACGATAAATCCTGCTCTGCACCACACTGCCCCGCCTGGCGAGCCCTTGCATGCCCTTTTCTCACCCCTCAACTAGGCCAGGCTTATCGACCCGTTTCACAGCTGAGGTAATAGGACTTCTAGATATTTCAAATGATCTCCTTTAAGTTTCTCAGTTTTGAAGAAGCAAAATCAGGACCAGGTAGATTTTCTGGCACCAAGTCTGATGTACTTACTGCAGTTTTGTGCCACGGTTTGGCAACTAATGATTTTATGATTTGACTAACCCGGCTTACAAAACTGGCCCTATGCATTTTCCACATTGCGCTATGGTCTAAGATGAATGAACTTGCTGCAAGATCTTCGTATTTTAGTCTCAGCAAGATGTGGGTGGCACCCACAATCTGGTATGGTTCACAGTTCCAGGGTATAATTCGTTTCCATTTCCATGAGCTTTTATTAAATATCTACTGTATTTCCGGCACAGTGCCAAGCCCCCAAGATGGATAAATAAGAGCATTCCCAGACTCCTGGCCTCTGTGGGCACCTGGCTTCTCTGGCCCTCATGGGTTCTGCCAGAAGGCTTTAGGGTAAAGCGTCTGGCTGTCTGAGCTCACAGAGGTCCTCTTTCTCTACAGTCCTCCGGGCCTCATATGAGCAAGAGAAAGAAGCCCTTACCCACTCCTTCCAGGAGGCCAAGACGGCCCTGCAGGTGAGAGGGGCTGGGCCATGTCAGTCTCTGTGAGTGTAGGGGAGGACCTGTCAGAAAGCAGCACGGAGCCTCAAGCAGTCCAAGCTGATGGCCTCTACCTAGGTATGAGGGACAGAGATGATTTCTTTCCATGTATACAGGCCCCTTGATGTGGCAACCAGGCTATTAGCTCAGGAGGACTGGGTTTGAGATTAGGGTTGGTGTAGTTTTCCAAGGACTGCTAGGAGGATCTTGGAGACCTCATAAGCTTGGTTGCTACAGTGTGATTAGGCTGGCGAGTGGATGCACAGAGAAACATGAAAGAAGGCATCTGACCCAATGTGATTGGTCGGGAATTTCCTAAAGGTGGTGAGACGTAAGCTAGAACCTGAAGAATGGGTTGGGATTCTTCAGATGAAGAAGGATATGAAGGGTGCTGTAGGCAGTGGGGGAAAACAGTATATTTAAAGGCGCGGAGGAGAGGGGAAAAATATGCAATATCTGTGGAACTGAATGAAGCCCAAGATGCCTGGGGTGTAAAGTATGAGTGGGGGAGAGAGCTGAGGCAAGAGCAGTAGGCAAGGGCCAAATGGGGAGAGCCCGTAAGCTATATTAAAGAGTCGCACTCTATCCTAAAGGCAATGGGCAAGCTTGGGGTGGAGGAATTTCTCGGCAGGGAAAAACTGTGGAGACAAGAATGCACCTTGCAGTTGGAGGAGTGATGTGATATTTGCCTGCAGGAGAAGGTGTGGGGAGACGAGCAGTGAGAGATGAGACTGGGGAAGTGTCTTGAGACCAGTTCGTTTGTATTCTGAATGTGGACCAAACACCAGCCTTGAATACCAGGGCAGTCATTGTCCCCCAAGGCTATGGAGAGTTGTTAAAGGGTTTAGAATAAGAGGTGGGACTGGTATATTTGAAGCAGTGGTTGAAGTGGTTTAAGCCTGCATTGTTAGTTAGGGTAGAGCAAAATCTGGCTGAAGAACCCAAAACTGATACTTCTCTGGAATGTGGAGAAGTTTACCTACAGCCTTTACCAACCAGGCTTTGATCATCTCTTTCCTGCTCCCTTCTCCAGGAGACCATTGATGGACTGACCTCACAGCTGGAGACCTTCCAGGCCAAGATGAAGAGAGTAGAAGAGTCCATTCTGAGCCAAGACTACAAAAAGCACATCAAGGTAGGCGGCAGTACACCTGGGGGCCTTTCCTTCTGGAATTGCCAGGAAGGCCACGGTCTGGGCAACAAGAAAGGTCAGTCCCTCTTCAAGGATAAGGCTCAGGCCTGACACTCTTACCTTCACAACAGACTGGAAGAAATAGGGTCCCGACGTCACTAAGGGGAAAAGTAAGGCTCAGAGAGAGGCATGTGGGATAGTAAAGTGCTCAGGCTTGGGATTCAGCCGGAACTGGATGCAAACAGCAAACCTACCACTTAGCAATAAGCCATGGTTTCCTCATCTGTGATGCCTCAGGGTGTAATTAGGATAGAATGAGATAGAGCATATTAAGCATTTACCACAGGCCAAGAAAGGGATGTGACTTCCTAAGTCAAACAGTAAATTGGAGGGAGAATGGGGAGGAGGGATGTAGCCCGTGCCCCTCTATCTGCTGGTCTGACGAAGTCACTCTATGTCCCTGTCTAGGATTATGGGAGCCCCAGTCAGTTCTGGGAGCAGGAGCTGGAGAGCTTGCACTTTGTCATCGAGATGAAGAATGAGCGTATTCATGAGCTAGACAAGCGGCTGATCCTCATGGAAACAGTGGTGCGTGGGCTGAAGTGGCTGGGGGGATGCGGCCTCAGGCTTCTGCTTTCTGGGTATTTCCTCTGTCAGATGTGCAAAGGGTAGGTACTTTGATGAGGCTCCCACCAGCTTTGACCTGCCACCCATGCTGGCCCTTGAGATAGCTGAGCCTGGTCTGCGGCCAATGTGGGTCAAGCAGTGGCTCCTTGTCATCTGGGACCTGTACTTCTCTTGGCCACTAATGTTGCTATAACTTGGGTGACATCAGAGCAGTTAGCCTGGCTAATTAGGAGGGGCTGGCAGATGTCACATGTCAGGCAGGGGCTGAGGAAGACTGAAAAACAAGACAGATATGGGAGGCTAGAGTCAGCAAGGACAGGCCTGGGGAGCGGCAGGCATTGAGGACACAATTGGCTTTGTCTCCAGAAAGAAGGCCTTGGAAGCCAAGGGTTGAATCTGAACAGAGATTATGTTGCTCTGGAAGAAGTCTCAAAGGTCCTTTGTGTGCCACACAATCAGACCATCTCAAATGTTCTCAATAAATTTTGTTCGACCATTTCTATGGCATAGCATAACAGACATACTTTTATTTATATGTATCTTTTCTCTTATGAACTGATAGGGATACTGGATGGTATTCTCTTATCTTTTTTTTTTTTTTTTAACATTCTTCTGTGGCCAGATCAAAAGTTGGCAGCTCTCTGTTCACTCCTTAGTTGTTGTTGTTTTTTTTTTAAGTAATCTTATTGCTCTATGAAATGTAACATTTGGTCTAGAATGAACCAGTGTTTTCAGTGACCACAGATAAGAGAGAGGTGACCGCATGCATTGTACCATGTGAATTGGGTAGCTTTCAGAGCTCATTCTAATTTGTTACAGAAAGAAAAAAACCTGATGTTGGAGGAGAAAATCACCACCCTCCAACAGGAGAATGAGGACCTCCACGTCCGAGGCCGCAACCAGATGGTTGTGTCAAGGTAGCTGGCCCCCTCCCTCTTTTCCTCTGTCCCCACCCTTTTCGCCAAAATCTCCAGTTTAGAGTCCGAGAGAAGCCCGGGAAATGGATTCACAGGGGGGCCCAGCCCTATCCTAGGAATGTGGCTCCTCTTTTGTTAGGAGTCAGGTGTCCCTCGGGACCAGCTCTTCCTGGAAGCCTAAATCAAAGGCCCTGATTAGTATCTGTTTGTCCCCATCCTGGCTGAGTGGGCTCCATGGGAAAGCCCAATCTGGGAAGAGAAAACAGGAACTTATAACTCAAGAGGCCGAATGAGTGAATGAATGTATATGAATGAATCCGTTCTAAGGGCTTAGTAAATGAGAGCTAGTATCATGTGTCAGACATAATTTGTTGAATACTTTACATATGATCTAATCCTCATAATTAATCTAAGAGCTCCATCCTAATAGTCTTATTTCCATTTTACAAATAAGGAAACTGAAATTCAGCAGATGTACGTGACTCATCCAAGGTTACACAGCCAAACGATAGAGTAGATTTGAACCTGGAGCTGTCTGCCTGTGAGGACCACGCTTCTTGGTCAGCAGATTGAATCACTTGTGTTCGACGGGGCAAGATGGGGCAGTGGGGACCCTGTAGCAGGCTGGTGGCCCACATAAGGAAGGTGTCCTAGAGTGATGGGTTGGTCTCTGCAGTCACTGGAGACCCTGAGAGGCAACCCTGGCCTCTGTCTGCATCCACAGGCAGCTCTCGGAGGACCTACTTCTCACCCGTGAAGCCCTGGAGAAGGAGTCGCAGTTAAGGCGACAGCTCCAGCAAGAGAAGGAGGAGCTGCTGTACCGGGTCCTCGGGGCCGATGCCTCCCCCACCTTCCCCCTGGCCTCAGTCACCCCCACCGAGGTCTCCTTTCTTGCCACATAGGCTCAGGTCCTGGGCAGCCATGATACCTGTGGTCACGGCTCCCTCTCCAGGACTTTCCAGAGAAGACAGCAGGGGTGAGATGGGAGCCAGGGTGTGTGCCCATGAGCCCCCGGGGGCGCGGGCCATGTAGAATCGCCCATGGAGTTTCGGAGGCCCCAAGAAGCGCCTTCCCTTGAGTTGGCCCAGGGAACAAGCAAGAGGAGTCCTTTCCTCCCATTCTTCTCTCTGTCCAAATCTGGGAGTTTTGAGGCTTTTCTCAGGGGGAGACTGTGCCGCTTAGGCCATCTGACAAAGAGGACACAACCTCCTTGTCCTAACGTGTCAGCTTTGCTGCCAGCTCATCACCTTACTCCTAGATGTCCCCACTTCTGCCCTGGCCTTCTCTCAGCCTCAGTTTAAAACAGTTGGGGGAACTGAAGAAATGACTCTTGCGTTACTACGGTGTCCCATGCTAGGATTGTCCGAAGGTCAGACTCAGAGCTGGGGGGCAGGGGAGGAAGTGGGCCAAAGCCTTTGAACCAACTGGGAAAGGTGAGCAGCGGGGAGGGGGTCACTGGAGGCCCTTGGTGCTGGTGGTGCAAGGGGCTGACCCAGGCGAGGAGGGGCTGGGCAGGGTGTCGGCCTGTCACTGCTCAGGGTCCCAGAGTCTGGTCTGCCCAGGGGTTATGGCCAGAGCTCCTCCTCCTTGACCAGGCAAAGTTCACTCCTCAGCCCTCTGATCCCTTAGTCTCAGTGCCACATGGGCACCAAGGCCACCTGGTGGGTCTGAGCATACTCCACAGCCAGAGCTGGAACCTCAGCCCTGAACAGATGGGGAAAACGAGGTAGGGAGTGAGACCCACAAAGCCAGGACGGGGACCTCACCTGTTGTCCAGGTCTTGTGCTTTTTCTTTCTCCCTAGGCTCTGGGAAGATCAGATCTGTGACAGTCTTTCAACCCGTTCCTTTATCTGTCCCCCACCTACTCTGGTCTTTTACCCCTGCTCTCCACCTTCACTCCTTCTACCACCCCTGACCCCAGGCCCCTGGAACCTGGCCCTTCGTTTCCTCATCGGTGCAAAGGGGTGGCTGGAGTAACCCACCTCAGCAGCTCTGTCCAGCCCTGACATCTGTGGGTTTAAGATTATTCTCAGGAAGTCAGATCAGCAGGAGCCTATAATAACCCTCCCCTGGCACAGAGCATTTTAATGAAATGCTTCCGT